GATTAAAAGCTGCATGTGGCTGTTAATATTAACACAAAAGTCACACCTGCGTGATAGACTGGATATTGTTGATTAACCTAACAATAGTACACATATTATCGACACGCAGTTTCCAAGCGTGTCTTTTTTAAAATACCCCAAAAAAGCTATCCGCAAATGGCATCATTTAATCTATTTTTCACTGACAAAAATACGCTGACATTTTTGCATAAGATAGGGCAGAACATTAGAAAATATTATCATAGAGCACACATTTATAGGATGCACCACTTACGCTCAGGCCGTCTACATGCTTCTATAGAAAATATCAAGGAAAGGAAAAACCAGGTCAGCGTGAACATACTGCAAATCCACTTGGATTTGCCAAATGTGCTAGTATTTATAGCATTTGCCACCAACTACATGAGGGAGATAAGATAGCGGCGCGCACTTTGGTGACGCATATGATAATATATTTTAGCACAGATTACAATGACAGTTATAGCATGCGCAGTTATACGATGTCGTATTTTAGGGTGCGTGCAATTTAAAAGATGCGTGAGGAAGACAAGAGCTAATGTTCCCGGTTAATTTTCTGGCCTTCTCAAGCCACAACTCAATTTGAGGCCATGTGTTCATCCGACAAAAGGATAGGCTATTATAGATTTGATGACCTGTTCTGAGCGAAAAAAAATTTCAACACCTCCCCTTCGACCACTGCTATAAAATATAAAACGTTCCTCCAGAAATTATGTATTTATTTCGATAACTCTACAATTCGAATGCATACTCACATACATTTCCAGGTGTGTATCTCATTTAGGTCCATAAACAGATGATAATCCGCGATTACATGCGCATGTTTCGTTTGGAATGTTACTTTATAAAGATAAACCTTACAAAAGTCACACTCACTGACAGATCACATATTCTTGGAATCTAGTCACCACGTCTTCCGAATCATGGTCTTATTAAGAATGGTCAGGTAGAGCAACCCTGTGTGCATCCAGCATAATTCTATACCTATTCAGTTATCTCAAGATACCGCCTTTTCGATCAAATATCTCGTTAAATGCATGAAAAATCATACTCCGCAAAGATTACTACTCAATTGGCATCCACTATTCACTTTGATTTTCCATGCCCTTAAAAATAGAATTATATTTCATGAAAGGCATGCGTAAATAGTGTACATTCCTTTCCTCATCCTGTACAGCATTACGCCCTCTTCCAATTTTATATTTGAAGCAAGAGCAGTATTTGGTTTTAAAAAGTTTGTAATTGTGAGATTTTTCCCTACTGTGAAATGGCTGTTCATAAGGCGTCATTCTTCCGCATTAACAAATGCGGCTTTTAAAGTTAACAATATAGCTGAAATCCGCTGCTAAATTTTATGAACCTTATATGGCCTCCTACTAATACCGTAGATAAATGCTTGCTATTTGCATGCGGAATGCAAGTGTAACGGCAGACCGGGTTCAAAATTACGCGGAAATCGGGAATGTTTTTTTTAAACAGATTAATGACACAAACACTGTGCAAAAATCACACGCGAAATCTCGGCCACGTGGATGACACTAACGAGCAGTTTTCTATTCAGTTGACACATATTGGGAACACAATAAGCCGTTTCGGTTAATTTGTGGACGCAGGTGGGCTTCTGTCCAATCCGTCAAAACAGTCAAAAGTCCGCAAATTACGGATGATAGCCGTGACTGTTTCAGCGTTTTAATCGCTTTATTGCTGACTCAATGCCCACAGTTTCTTCCTCAATGACATCGCTGGAGAATCGTAACGCGGTATTAATATGTCTGAGGCGGTCTTGCTCTCTTAGGTATCACCCTTTTTTGCGTCTAGTCCCAAAAATATGGCATTCCTGACCACTGCACTACTCTCGTATGTCAAATACGGATGATGAAACTTCCAAACCTCCGGTAAACATAAATTATTGTGCTATCCCTGCCAACACATGGCCCCGGGGGCCAGATGGGGCTAGACGGGGCCAGGCCCCGTCCAAATTTTTTGTGAATTTCCATCCTTTCTAATGACGTCATTCTGCATTATTTTAGACAGATTTCACTCTCTTATCGTAAAATATAAGCTTTGTAGTATGCATTCGCTATTGTAAATGAAGGTGGGTAACATACTGTTCACGTAAGGGTTATGGGTGTACACCCTGCCAACACATGGCCCCGGGGGCCAGACGAAGCTAGACGGGGCCAGGCCCCGTCCAAATTTCCATCCTTTCTAATCACGTCATTCTGCATTATTTTAGACTGTTTTAGCTTTATTATCGTTAAATGTAAGCTTTTTAACTTGTATAATGCGTTTTCAGTCGTATGACATCGAGAGAAATTCATGTTTCACAAAGGCAAATATTGGCCTTGTTTAAGTCGGTCATGTACATACCCATGTGGACGGCACTTTTACGCTGACTGTGTGCACGCGTGATCCATACAGCTGACCGACTCCTACTTCTTACTTGGCTCGTTTTGACTGCAGTACGTTATCTATTTACTTATTTATTTCTTCTATGCGATGCAATATGTCATTGTAATAAGTAAATGCTTTATTTTAGTCTCTAGAATAGTAATTTAAGTTATTTATAAGAATGGCACGTAATCTGACTTCTTGAGTATAGTATATGGCAGTGTAATATGTGTTAATGTTATTTATATGTTCATTCTAAGCAAATATGGAAAGGAAATACTGGGAAATTCATCGCAGTACAATGCACAACATGACTAAGCGGGCGAAGATGGCGTACTATGCCGCCACCGATGACCCCTCGTTTCCGTCTACGTCATCCCTCGTAACGGAGCCGTCACCCGAACCATCGATGCCGCACCTTAGCCCTGAAGTTAGCATTGGTAGGTGTTATATGGTATGTTATAAGACGATGTAGACGACGACCAGGTTGCAGATGAAAGCTCGAACCCGTTCAGAGGCAATTGCTTCCTGACGGATTTGAGGGAATTCTGCTTAAGTGTCCAACTACCGCAGGCAACATTCAAGTTGTTGTTCCAAATGTTGCGTAAATACCACCCAGAGGTGCCCAAGGACCCGCGAACTCTCATGCAGACACCGCGAGCATGCGTTACTGAATTCCTCTCTAACGGCAGCTACGTGCACCTGGGCCTTAAACGCAGTCTGTTGGATGCGGTGCAACTTCGACCGTCGGCTTTGTTACCGAAAATACGGGTTCAACTCCACATTGACGGAATGAAGCTGTTTAAAGGGTCTGGCCAGTGTCTATGGCCAATCCTCGGTCGAGTCAGCTATCCTGTCCGTGGACTGCCGTTTTTTGTTGGAGTGTCCTCTGGTTCCGGCAAGCCTGAGCCTTTGGATGTATTTCTTGGCCAGTGCATCTCAGAACTGAAGGATATTCTGACCAGCGGACTTCAGGTCCCGGATACGGATGCCGTAGTTAGAGTTGAGCTCACCAACGTCATCTGCGACACGCCTGCTTGGTCCTACGTCCGGCAAGTAAAAGCGAATAATGGCTATTACGGCTGGCCCTTGTACATACTAATCCACTTTTTTTATTTTATATGTTCAATAAACTACCATATGCCAATATTTGCTGTCCATTAACTTTGTTCATGTAGACCTCGGGACATGTTTGAGTTATCGGGGCTATCACTATATTTAGAGGGTGGGCAATACCTAACAAAAATAAGGGTTATGGGTGTTCATCGATCAGAAGTAGAATAGTAGAACCTGCTGTGCGGAGAACTAGGAAAGGGATAATACTGGTAACGTAAATTAGGGGTTAATATCACGGAGAGCGTGGCGTCCCCCTGCGCGTTTTTTTCGAGGACGGGGCCAAACGGGGCTATCGCGTCCCTAGCCCCGTCGTAGCCCCGTCATAGCCCCGCCCAAACGGGGCCCAGCCCCGCCTGGCCCCGGGGACTAGGTGGGGCCAGACGGGGCTGGTGCTAGCAGGGCAGCTATCAAAAGTTTAATAGTATAAACTACTGTACGGACAATTAGGAAAGAGAAAATACTGGTAACGTAAATGTGGGGTTATTATCAAGGAGATCTCCTTGCTCGAGCATGGCGTCGTCCTGCGCGCTTTTTTCCTAAGACGGGGCCAGGCGGGGCTATCACGTCCACAGCCCCGTCGTAGTCCCGCCCAAACGGGGCCCAGCCCCGTATGGCCCCGTGGGCTAGACGGGGCCAGACGGGGCTGGTGCTAGCAGGGTCAGCATCCATTTAAAAGTTAAGTTGACTTCACAGACATCTTCCTAAAGTCACAGGGGAATTTGGAAACTTGTTCAAAACCTAAATATAGGATTCATTAGAGTATAAAATGTGAAGCTAATGGGATTGTCTACCAAACGAGTTAAAAAAAGAATATTTTGTGCACGTCATCAGTAAAAGTATATTTGAATTTTAAAAAAATCATCAGAAATCAATATGAAAAGTGCATGTTATATAAGCAGCCATATTTTACGGAGTATTGTTTCGGTGGGTCAAAAAGAAGTGCATGCAGAAGCTAACAACCTGCTAAGTCCGAAATACTATCGCATAATGTCACATGATGAGCAATATTGCAATCCCAACTAAGTAACCCTTCCTTATTGAAAACTCATTTCAATATTCAGTCAACATATTATGAGATCCGTCACGCACTCTATGCATGCATGTATGTTGAATTAGATGACGGGCAAAAATATGAAGATCGGAATAATCATTTTTAATCATTTTAATCAACCGGCAATTTCCAGTCTAGATTTAGAACACCTCGAATTCAAGCCCGGGCCCATTGACCATTTGGTTAAACTTTTGATCAAACAGTCACGAAGCCTGCAGCGTGCATATTGCCAAGGTGTAAAGCAATCAGATCAGTTCAGTTCAGTTCAGTTTATTGAGGGAAATAGGCGTAAGCCATTGAGTAACCTATTTGCAACGTAAAAAATGTGTGGTGTACAGATAGATGTTCTGGGCTGAAATAGTTCGAACACGCCCATAATGGTGGGAAAAAATGAAAAGGAGTTACAGGGGGTGAGCTCGACTTCTCATCGCTCTTGGTCATTTCGGAACATAAATATGTCCAGATTCTTCTTAAATCTTTGTATAGATGGTGACATCACAACACCTGCGGGAAGCTCCTTCCATGGTTTGACCACCCGAACGGAGAAGGAGAACTTCCTCACATCCAGCCGTGCCTGCTGAGTGCGCAGTTTTAACGGGTGACCTCGAAGGTTGGTCGTGGTTGCAAATTCAAAAAAGTCCTCGAAGGCCAGACTGCAATCCAACCCCTTTACAATGCGGAAGGCTTGCAAGAGATCTCCCCGAAGTTGCCTGTAACTCAAAGGAAAGAGGTTCAGATTTACTAGGCGAGTTGCATAAGGAAAGGAGCTTTGACCTCTAACCATCTTCGTGGCTCTCCTCTGGACTCTTTGGAGGCAGTTTTGATCCACAACAGCCCAGGCCTCCAAGCTTGTATGCCGTACTCTAAATGCGGCCGGACGAATGTTCCGAAAGTCTTAGAGAAAGCTTCTTCGTCAAAGTCCATAAACGCACGCTTGATGGCGTACAGTACGGACATGGCGCTTTTCGCCACCCTCGAACAGTGGGAGGATGGTTTTAGGGAACTCGTCGTAATCACATCGAGGTCCCTTTGGGCTTCGACCTCTTGTAGGGCTGCATCGCCCAGAAAGTAGCCTCTTGTGCTGGCGGATCTGGCTGTGTTGCCTAGGCGAAGTATGCTACATTTGGCAACGTTGAACCGCAGGAGCCAACGGTTTGACCACTTCTCCAACCGATTCAGGTTCATCTGCAGTCTGTCTTCATCGACAGGACCCCGAATTACACTCCATATCTTCATGTCGTCCGCAAACATTGCTACTTCACAGTCTAAATCTCTTGCGGCATCGTCCACGTAGATAAGGAACAAAATGGGTCCCAGGACTGAACCCTGGGGGACACCACTATCGACCATAGCCAGATCTGATTTTCCGCGACCGACGCACACAACCTGATGTCGACCCACAAGGGAGTTTTCGATCCATTTAAGGGAGTTGCCACCGGTCCCTATTTTTTTCAGCTTATGTAAGAGCCTTGGGTGCGGCACAGTGTCGAAAGCCTTCTGGAAGTCGATGAAGGCTATGTGGACTGCGTGCCTGTCGTCGAGAGCTCGGGTCCAGCTCTGGAGAGATTGCAGCAGGTTTGTCGTGCAGGATCTTCCTTTTCGGAACCCCTGTTGGCAGTTCGATAGCAGGCCGTGAACTTCCAGGAATTGCATCAGTTCAGTCTTTATGATCCTTTCCATAACTTTGCAGAGAATGCATGTCAAGCTTATGGGCCGGTAATTTGTCGTCGCTGCCCTGTTACCTGCTTTGTGTAGCGGAGTAATATGCGCCAGCTTCCTATCGACAGGAAGTGTTCCAGTGTCAAATAACGTTTGAAAGAGCATCGACAAAGGCACAGAGAGCTCACTGGCAAGTTCCTTCAGAAGCTTGAGTGGAATCTCGTCTGGTCCTGGAGACTTCCATTCGTTCAATGCCTCTAATTCTCTTCGGACAATGCCTTTTGTGAAGAGTATATCACTGACGCTTGGAGTCGACAGTTCTTCTGTGGAATGAGGAAGGAACCTTGCCTCGTTTGTGTAGACTGATTGGAAAAACCGTGAAAAATACGCAGCTTTATCCCTACTATCAGCGATCTCAACGCCATCAGTTGTCTTTATCAAGGGGATTTGATGCCTGTTCCTTGTACTTCGTCGGAGGTAGCTGTAGAGCAATTTTGGGTTCTTCGTTGCTTTTTGTAGCAAGTTCTTCTCGAATTCCAGCCGCGTCTGCATTATCAGCTTCCCCAGTTTGTTCCTCTGTGTCTTGTCGGTGTTGAAGCATTCAGCTTGTCTAGTGACGCAGTATTTTCTCCACAATTGGTGCGTCCTGTTGATTACTTTCTTGAGGTTGCTATTTAGCCACCCAGGGTGTTTATTCAGTCTTACACTAGTCAGTGGGCAGGGGTTGTTGATGAGCTGCAGAAGGACATCCTTGAACAGCTCCCAGTCATCGTTGGAACTTCCCGTAAACAATGAGCCCCAGTCAAGACCGGATAAGTCTGCCCTCATCTGATTGAAGTCGCCCTGCCAAACATTACGCCTTTTGTGGTCTGGAGTATGTGAAATGGAAAATAACGATTAATCCCACATAAGCACTACGTGGTCACTTCGGCCAAGGGGCGGCATGGAGGCGATCTCGTCTATGCTCTCTGGTGTTTTCGTAAAGACCAGATCCAGGCAGTTTGCCCTTTGTCCTGCACGTGTTCTCGTTGGGAACATTACATGTTGTGTGAGGCACGCATTTAATGTTTTGCTCAACAGGCTGTAATCGAATGCCGATTTTGGACCTGACGCTTAGAGAGTATTTCAGTTTGTTCCTGGTGCGTTGAAGTCGCCCATGATCATGATGTTAGGTCGACTGGAAAATTTCTCCAACTGCTCCAATAGTTGAGTGTCGGCGATTCGGTTTGTTCTAGGTGGTCGGTAGACAGTGAGGACATCGAGACACGGGGAACCGGTAGCCTTGATGGTCAACCAGATAGCTTCCGTACTGCACGCAATCTTGGTGGTGTTATCTGACACTGCCAGACCGTCATTCACATACACAACGATACCACCACCCTGACGATGTTCTCTGTCCCTCCGATAAATTTGGTATCCAGGCAAGGCTACTTCGTTATCGCTAATATTCCCGGACAGCCAGGTCTCAGTTACTGCTCAAACATCTGGAGACAGCTCAACAAGGCAAAGTTTTATTTTGTCTAGTTTCGATATGATGCTTTGGGCATTCGTGTACAAGCACCTCAGTTTAGCACCAGCCGAATTTCCCGTTGCATTTGTTACTGCTGTGAGCATAACTCCGTTATCGCGGACGTCGTGTTCTCTAGGCTCTTCCGTTACCTGATTGGTTCCATTTACATGCATTGTTTCAGTCAGATCACTGGCCGCTACGGGCTCCCTTGTAGATAGATAGATAATTTTTATTAAAGACCTGTCGGGGTCCCATCAAAGCAAGTTAAAATAAATTTGCATGTGAGTTTTAGACGAGGTAGGCCGAATCTTTACAAAATGCAATTCCTATTTTCTGAATTAGAAGTCCATTGAGAAACATGATGATTGAGGGGTAAAAAAAACTCCTTATAAAAAGTTAAAAATGAGTGGATTAATTTTACAGGAGAAAAAAAACCCTCCATAAAAATAATAACAGAAAAAAGCGAGCAGGACTGGCCTGTAGGTGGCGGTATATAACGGAATGTTGTCGGTCATCATCAGGGTAGCTATAAATGTCAGCCTTGATGGGTACGAATGTGGGTCAGACAGGACTGGCTTGCATATGGCATTGTATACGGGATTCACAATTGAGATCGTCTGGGCCGGATTGGTACGCCGCGTCAAAGAGGCCAGACGAGAGGAACCCAGATGCGATCGGCCACAGCACGCTTCGAGCTCAGCCGAGCAGACGGGAAGAGAGGAACGACCAAACTACTAGTAGACGGCGAATACTGAGGGTTCCGCCCTGAGCGTCAACAGACCGCATGAGGTCGGAATGCGGGAGATGACATCAAAAACCGCGAAAATTGTCGCTATGGGGGGAGTGATAGCAGTGGATTTAGAAACCAATTCAAAATAGGGGTTTCTAATGATATAATTAAGAGTTACCACTTAATCTACCACTTAATCCCAGGAGGACCCTTCTCGAAGTCAAGAATCGGAGTGTTCGGGAATGAGACCGTTAACAGTGCCTTTATGCTTTCCGGTGTAAGATGGCTGCGTAATTTCGACTTGAATACCAGTAACTTAGGCGATAATCTAATTTTAGGCGGAAGATTATTCCAAAGGAAGGCATATTTGGAAGCAAAGAAGAGGGAGCGCTTAGATGTAGTACAAAGAGGCGGCGGAATCACCATGCAGGAGTTGCGCGTGGCATAAGACCGATCTCTCGGAGTGAGAGTGACAATGTGCGGAAGACTGGAGCTACAGTTGATGCGAAAAAGGAAGCAAAGGCCAGCTTCGAGTCTTCTAACCCACAAAAACTTAACGTTCGCCAGCTGACATCTCTGAGTATAAGAAATACCAAACGAAGCTCGAGAGAACAGTTTCCGGGTGAAAACCCTCTGAACATTTTCGATTTTATTACGGTCGCAGGCGTTCATTAAACCGAAGAAAGGGCAGCAATATTCGAGGACTGGAAGAACAAACATTTGATAAAGTCTTAGCTTCATTTCCGGAAGGAAAAAATTATGCGATATGAATCCACATATCTGCGCGGCTTTGGCCGAGATTCTATCTGCATGAGGTGATAAAGCAAGTTTATTTGTATAACGTAGACCTAGGTCCTTTATGGTGAGGCATTCTGAGAGTGGGTTATTCTGAAAAATTATGGGACCAGGAAGTTTGGTAGGACCAAAAGACCTAAAACTACACTTGGATGATGAAAACTCCATCTGCCATGTCGAACCCCATCTGCTTAAGCGTAGTAAATCGCATTAATTTTTTCAACACAAACATTTGCGGTGTCCTTAGAGTATGAGTAAACACACTTGAGGTCATCGGCATAAGAAAAAGTTTGCGAATTTCCGAGTTCAGTCGAAATATCATTGATGTACAGAAGGAAGATTAGCGGACCCAGAACCGTGCCTTGAAGTACGCCACTCGTGATCGGGTGGGGTGTCGAGTAGCTATTACCGACCATGACTTTCTGATATCGGTTGGACAGATAGGACCTGATGAAGTCGAGTAGAGGCGGCCGGATGCCGAGAGCTTCCAATTTTACTAAAAGACGTCTATGGGGCACCTTGTCAAAGGCTTTGCTAAGATCAAAGTAAATAACAACCACTGACTGCCGCTCATTACGAAGAGAAGTGATTAGATTAAGAAAAGCCAAGTGGCATGTTTTGCAGGATCGTTCAGGTAAAAATCCATGCTGACTAGAGCTCAGAAGCCGATTAGCTAGACAGAAGTCAAGAATTTCATTGAAAATGATCCTTTCAAGACGTTTTGCTAGAGACGGCGTTTTGTGCACGCCCCGATAGTTATTAAAATCGGACCGAGATCCTGACTTGAAAACGGGAATGATAATTGACGTTTTCCATGTTTCAGGAAAGAATCCTTTTGAAATATAAACAGAGAATAAATGACTAAGCAATATGTGAAGGTCGGGCGCTTGTTTAATAATCGAATTGGGAATCCCGTCCGTTCCTGAGCAGTGTGAGTATTTCAAACGGCTTATGTGTTTCTTAATGAGATCTGAGGAGACATCAATAGTACTCAGTGTCCTATCTGAAAGTGATCGAAAGAAAGGGACCGGATCGGACTCGGTAGCAAGGTGTTTTGCAAAGAAAGCACTAAACAACTCCGCCTTGTCAGTGTCATCGGTGTGGAAGACTTTGTTATCATTTAGCATGGGTGGAAGTTCATGACCAGGCTTAGAGGAGATCCGATGACGGAAGATGTTGGCGACGGATTTGCCAGGGCTCGAACCACTGAGAGCAATTGATTCTCTTTGCCTGTCGCGCGCTAGGCGCATCCTTGAGGCCATCTCAAATATCTCTGTGATTCTAGGATGAACAGATAAGGAACTAGTGGAGCGCCTTGATCAGGTGGTTCAACGAAGGTGTCTGTTTTAGCTGAGTAGCTGTCGTCATTCTTAGTATTACAGGCTGGTTCCACTGAAACGGCATATATTTCCGAACTACCATCCCCTTGAAGATATCCAGATTGTGTTCGCCACATTTCAGTCTTGATTTTAACTCCAAGACAAGTTCCCGGCGTTTCAACCGTTCCGCTGGTGAATAGTCCGGTTGAAAAAAACCTGTTTGTGTGTGTTTCTGAGATCGGTTTTTTCAGAGAGGATAAACTTGATTTGCTCTTTGTTCTCCAGCATAATTTTGAGAGGGCGAGGTGGTTGTGCTACTGTCCTGCCTTCACTCCTTTTTCCTATCCGGAATGCTTTCAGAACCTTTATTTCCATGTCTGCAGGCAGTAAATGATTTAGCAGACCATGAAAAGAAGCAAGGTCCTCTGAGACACGGTCTTCAGGTCTGACTGCATTCGATTCTGACAAACCCTGAATAATCAGACACTGCTGGCGAGCATGGTCCTCCTTACTCTGTCTTTCCGGTGAATGCGCTGCATGTGGGCGAGGACGATTTACGGAGTCATCGCTTGGACGCACACTTTTACTGTCTACCGACTGTCCCGAGCAACCCATCAGGGCTGGCTGGGACTTCAGAATCCTGTCATGGCGTTTCCCTCTCCCCTCTACCCACGGGTTTATGTCTTCACATTCAGATACGTGCTCTGTAGTGCGCTCAGGGTGGTTGCCAGAACAAGAGGGCAACAGTAGACTGGATGACCTAGGTATATCGTCTCCAGGCAGAACAGAAATCCCATCACTTACAGCAAGAGGCTTAGTTGAGATGGCTTCCGCGACATGTAACTTTTTTGCGACATCGCTTAAGACATCGTGCGTGGGAATCGAGTCTCCCTTTATCGGCGGCTTCGTTTTCATTGTCCTGCTGTTACCGGCGTCTGCGGTTTTGGCTGTTGAGTTGCTACTCGTGTTTGAAGATTCCCCCGAGGAGATATTTCTTCGCGTTTTTGCATTTTGCTCTTCGTTTTTGGGATTCTAACACTGGACACGTTCTGGCCAACTACGGTCTGTTTCACGAGCGTCCTTAAATCAGCAAGCTCCTTTTCCAGTGGTTTGACTTTGATTTGAATATCTGCGCACTCACCACAAGGCTCGTCTTTGTACCTCACACTTTTTGCGGTATTTACGCTTTTTGCACGCTTTGCTGGTCGTTGGCTGGAGGCGAAGGTAAAGCGAGTACAGGTTCTGGATGCGAAGGACAACTCACCGGACTTGTCTTCCAAAGAGGTGCCGTCGCTGGCCGTACTACTACAGTTAGTGTTATGACCCGCCTGGTACGCGAAATCCCGTGGAGCGTATACGCACTCGACCCTGGTCCCCAATATTAAGGCAGCAGACAAAGAACACACGGCTGGCCACGGAACGTGTATTAGCAACACGTTTTAGCAAGTCAAGTCTACCTAAGGGTGACGCATATTTATCACACGCTAGCGTGGTTCGCCGACACTCGGTCCAATGACCTTCGGGAAGAGGGGAGTAGCCAATGGGAAAGCGCCTGATTGAGATGACAGCGCGGTAGAGAGAGAGCAAACGCACGTGATCTCCATTGATTGGTTTGCTCTTGTTTTTGGGAGTGTAGGCACTCCCACCACCTCCCCTCCTAGTGGGTCAGTACCGCTTTTGGCGTGGATTGATCTGCATCGGCAGTGTTGATCGGCGCACGCGGTTGGTCCGGCGTCTTAGTTGTGGTTTGTTGACTGGAGACCCGGGGGCAGTGACTGATAACGAAGGTGGTACATCCGAAGGAGGCGCAGCAGTGGGTTCAGGAACCGACCGATCTGCCGGAATGGCGAAGGTATCCAGTAGGATGTCAAGGGGGAGTGAAGGCGCCGGATCGAGCCCAGTTGTGTTACTGCAATGTCGCCGTCGGATCTGGTTGTGGTGACGAACCCAGATTTCACCACCAACGTCGACGTCAAACAACATACTGCCTCTGTGCGCTACCACGGTTGCTTCAATCGAGTCTGCGAACTCCGCTCGATAATCACGGGCGAAGACAGGCGTTCCGATGGAGAGCTTGCTGCGAGAGACTGGAGAAGTCTGCGCGGGCTGCGCACCGGTAGGGACGAGGGCATGAAAAGTTGTACGCAGTTTCCGGCCCATCAACGCTTCGGCAGGAGAAACGCCACCAGGGGACGCCGGGTTCGGTGTTGTCCTGTAGGAAAACAGGAATGCCTGGACTATCTCGTCCGTGGTCCCCTCCCCACGAGCTTTCAAGAGGGCTCTCTTAAACGTGTCGACAAAACGCTCAGCCTGACCGTTAGACTGAGGATGTTAGGGCGGGGAGCGAAGATGCTGGATGTTGTGCTGGCGGCAGAAATCTTCAAACGTCGACGAGATAAACTGAGAACCATTATCTGAAACAAGGACTTCTGGTAAGCCATGTTGGCTAAAGATGCGTCGTAGGAAGGCGATAGTTTAAGATGCGGTTGCTGGATTCAACGGAGCAATCTCGGGCCATTTCGAGTAGGCGTCCACCAAGATTAGGTAGGAGACTCCGTCAAGTGGGCCAGCGAGGTCGATGTGCACGCGTGACCAAGGCCTCTCTGGTGGTTCCCAGGGTACTGGCGGTTGACGAGGCGGCATCTTGGCAGCTTGCTGACATCGAGAACAGCGTCGAACCAGGTCGTCGATGTCACCGTCGATACCCGGCCAGTAGGCAAAACTGCGAGCAATAGACTTCATTCAGCTGGTACCAGGATGAGCCACATGGAACTGGCGTAGTACAGTGGGTCGGAGGGAAGATGGGATCACCACACGGTCTGCAAACATGAGACAGGAGTCAACCACAGATAGCGATGCTCGGCGGAGGAAGAGCTGGCGAAGATCGCCAGCGAGAGCAGTGGTTGGCCAGCAGGTCTGCACGTAGGTGATGGCCTGGCGGAGGACAGGATCCTGTTCAGTAGCACGTCGGATGTCCGCGGCAGTAACGGGGATACCTCGTATGGCGTCTGATAGCTGACGGCGCACATCGTCCTCAATCGAGATAGCTGCAATCGCGGTATCTTTCTCCGGTTCCTGCTGATTGCTGATGAGGCGAGAAAGGGCGTCAGCCTGACCAAAGTCTGTAGTACGACAGTAGCGAATGTCGAAATCGTAGCCAATAAGGATGGTTGCCCATCGTTGAAGTCGGCTGGCTGAGTAGACGGGAATGCCCTTCTTCGAACCGAAGATTGACAGCAATGGTTTGTGATCCGTCAACAACGTGAAGTGGCGACCGTACAACAGTTTGTGAAATTTCTTGACGGCAAACACGAGGGCTAGAGCCTCTTTCTCTATTTGCCCATAGTTCTTCTCCGCAGGGGTTAGCGTGCGAGATGCATGCATGATCGCCTTCTCAGACCCATCAGGAAAAGTATGTGGGATGACGGCACCAACTCCGTGGTTGGAAGCATCTGCAGCAACAATGATCGGCAGCGTCGGGTCGTAGTGCGTGAGCAGTAGATCTGAACTCAGCATCGACTTTAGCTGGGCGAAGGCCTTTTCACAGTCGGGGGACCAGCACCAGGAAGCATCCTTCTGCAACAGACGGTTGAGCGGGGCCCATACGTCATGCAGCGATGGTAGGAAGGCGCTATAGTAGCTGATCAGGCCAAGGAACGAACGAAGTTGCGATACATTCTTGGGGGCAGGCATCTGCTGGATGGCCCGAATGTTTTCAGGATCTGGATGGCGACCATTGACGTCAAAAACGAATCCAAGGTACTTGATGGAGTCGAGGAAGAATTGGCACTTATCGGCCCGTAGGAGAAAGCCATATTCCTGCACGCGTTCGAGTACTGCGCACACTGGGTCTTGCAGCTCGGCAGGGGAGCCACCCACGATGGTGATGACGTCCAGGTACCCAGCTGTGCCGGGGATGCCGGAGAGCATTGCGTTCATCGTTTGTTGAAATAGGGACGGGGCGGTCTTGACACCAAAGGGCAGCCTGGTGTATTGGAACAGACCGCGGTGGGTGTTGATGGTCAACAATTCGCGCGACTCTGGGGCGACCTCGATCTGCAGATACGCATCAGCGAGATCCAACTTGGCAAAGCAAGTGCCACCATTTAGCAGGGTGAAAAGATCAGCCGGAACCGGTAGTGGATAGCAGTTCGGCGTCAGCGCGGCATTGAGACCGGTGGAGAAGTCAGCACAAATGCGAACCGAGCCATTGGGCTTCTTAACCACAACGATTGGAGCGGCCCAGGCGGAGTAGGATACCGGAACCAGAACTCCCAGTTCCTCTAGACGTTTCAGTTCAGCCTCGACAAGTGGTAGGGCTGCATCTGGGACTGGTCGCTTTGGACGGAAGACTGGTTGACTTCCAGGAAACAGATGTAGCACGGCTTGAGTGTATGTGCAACGACCCAGGCCGTCTTGGAACACTGGAGCAAACCGTTGGAGAATGTCCTTGGCTTGGTCTGCAAGCACAGCGGGAATCTGCACCTGACTGCAAACAGTGCGGTGCGGCATATCGGCCAACCCAAGTTGTTCAATCCAGTCGAGACCAAGTAGGTTTAGATCAGACTTGGTGATGTAGCAGATCGCAGTGATGCTGGTACCGCGGAACGACACACAGCATTGCAGCTGCCCAATTAGCTGTACGAGACCACCGCACGCGCTTGTGGCGGACTGAGAAGTCTGCTGCATCGTTGGGCTGCCAAGGGACTGTCAGAGTCTCTCAGAGATGATGGTGATATCTGAGGCAGTGTCCAGCTGTAGACGAACTGCATGGCTATTGAGCAAGACATCAACAAATTTTCTACGACCAGACGCATTGAGCTGCAAAGCAGCCAAAAGACTGAGAGAATTACCCACGGACTGGGGTTTGGGCTTGCGTTTTGACCGGAAACGGTGCCTGGAATTAGGAGTGGCGGGGGGTGGCTTGCCTCCAGAAGCTGGTAATGATTTGCAGAACCCATCACGGTGTCCCACCTGATTACAGCTTTGGCAGCGATGCTGGCGGAAAGTGCAATCCCGGTGGAAATGCCACGCACCACAGTGCCGACAAGGAGATGGCGGAGATCTCGACTTGGACACTTGCTTGGGCCGTGTAACAGGATGCGATTTGGTCGATGTGACCGTATGGACTGAGAAAGATGAGGCCGGGTTCTGAATCATTGCAGAGTCGCGCTTGAGATTGATCAGCGTTTGGCACTCTGCTGCCAGCTCTTGGAGTGTGGTGGAGTTGTTCTGCTGCACTTTGGACAGGAGACGTGTCCGGATATCAGCATCCTTGGGGGACTGGAGGCCGCAGGTAAATATTAGGCATTTAAACTGGTCTTCAGTGAGAGAACCGAGTTGGAAACGCCCACACTCACGATAAACAATGCCCGCGTACGTGATGAAATCATCGGAATCTCGTTTGCACAGTTGCAAGCACTGAAATCGAGTGTTGAAGAGGGATGATTGCTCACCAAAAATGTGCGACAACGTCTGAACCGTGTCCTTGAAGGCGACTTCCCGGGGATTCTTGGGAAGGATGAAGTTTGCATAACGCTCGTGTTCAGCCGGACCCAGTTTGCGAAGTAGAATTCGGACCTTCCATGCATCGTCCTGGGCAGCCAGATCGACAGAGAACAAGTCCTCGTATCGCTTGTACCAGGAATCAAAGGTGATATGGGCCTGCGGGTCATACAAGAATTCGGTGATGCTGCCGGCAATGTCATCAACAGATTGTGAACCACCAGCCGCGCTTGATTGGCCCATAGACGAATTGGATAGCTTGACGGTCAGAGCCTCCATCAGCTTCAGCTGCTGCTGCAACACCTGCTTCAAGTCTGCGTACTCGTCAGCCATTGTAGTTGAGAAACTGCGTCGCCAATTTGTTATGACCCGCCTGGTACGCGAAATCCCGTGGAGCGTATACGCACTCGACCCTGGTCCCCAATATTAAGGCAGCAGACAAAGAACACACGGCTGGCCACGGAACGTGTATTAGCAACACGTTTTAGCAAGTCAAGTCTACCTAAGGGTGACGCATATTTATCACACGCTAGCGTGGTTCGCCGACAATCGGTCCAATGACCTTCGGGAAGAGGGGAGTAGCCAATGGGAAAGCGCCTGATTGAGATGACAGCGCGGTAGAGAGAGAGCAAACGCACGTGATCTCCATTGATTGGTTTGCTATTGTTTTTGGGAGTGTAAGCACTCCCAACAGTTAGCTTGCCGAGAATCCATAAACTTCGACGTGATATAATAGGTATAATTTCGCTTTCGATGTTATAACGAATACGTCGGCTTATATATGATGAATTAAAGTGAGTATTCAAAACTCACTAAGCGAAAAAATACTTAAAATCCAATACATTTTGTTGAATTTAATCAGAAGCGACTTAGCCCTTTCCAGATCTCGTGGAACTTGAATAACTGCAGACCTTGAAGGATTTTGAGCGATTGGTTTTCTAGGCTGTATATCCGCGAATCGGTTGCGTAGCCAGTTGCGTTGTCAGTTGGACCGTGCTGATAAACAAATTGCACTTAATCCAGGTTCCTGGCGAATTTCTATGCGTGAAAAATATTCCAAAAATGCACAAAGTAATTCTGTACGTACGGTTCCAGTATCAATGTCAGAGACGGTAACTGTGGAATGGTAACCAAGTCGAAATTGTCCCAGTTGGAGCGCAGAATAATTCCGTCGTGCACAGTTGGGTTCAGTTGTATTTTCCGGTAGAGATTTTGCCAATCGGATTCCGAAATGTAGTCGTCTTTTGGTGTATTCGGACTCCACCTACAGTGCTGCAGGTAGAGATTCCGTCGTGCTCAGTTGGGCTCTGTTGTATTTTCCGGTAGAGATTTCGCCAATCGGATTCCGAAATCTAGTCGTCTTTTGGTGCACTCGGACTCCACCTACAGTGCTCCAGGTAATTGGGGGACGATAAATTACATATGCTGGATGAGATTTTTGACAACGACACAAGATACTTGAGTGCCTTTTATAGCTTACCAGTTTTGATCAGCCAACGATCGCCAGCCCATGTCTGAAATACAGGTATCTCTACAGGTTGGATTTGCACTTTGAGCTTTGCTGCGGAATGACTTGATCTCTGCTTTTGGTGCTAGCAATGTCCCATAGTTCGTTAATGAATTAATACTAGACTGACACTTTCGTTGCTGGAATGATGAACTTCGTGAAGGTGCAGCGTACTGCAACTAGTTAATATCTAGATATACTGATTTAAAATATCAGGTAGTTCAGACCTGATGTTAGGCATTACTGACTGATTGCAGTTAATAAGGTCGTTATTATTATTGAAATCTCCAATGAATTTAGCTAAATCACATATGCCTCGTACAAACAGTGCACACGGGTGCCTAGAGGGAAGTGATAAAGACAGGATTGGAACAACTTCGGAACGGTCGAGCGCCATGCTACACTCCTCATGAATTCTAGCAATTCATGCATGTATGCAGGTGCAAAAACTGCAAACCGCAACCGAGACGTGGACTCTCCTAAATCATTTAACGTTTTGGACGTATATAAATTAGGCCAAATAATCCGGCATCGCGCCCCTTGACGCGGCACAAGACACGCTGGAGTCGGGAAGTTTAAAATTTTAAAGGCAGCACATCGTTGTCATGGATAGTAGGAAGGAGGACTAAGACACCACAAACATGCCCAAAGCAAGTAAGCCATCTTGATAAGAAACATATATTTGACCCTATAAACATAAGTAGCTATACAATGACTCTAAGAATCTTCGGACAATTCTTTTTCCTTTCCTTAAAACTCTATTAATTCACAGCAATTACCCGTTGTCCGTAGGCTTATCACCAGCAGGTAACATACGAATATTTGTCTGAGTCTATAGACCTTGAATAAACTGATCAACCTCACGTTCACAGCTAATTTCTAAGGAACATAGGATGTGACAATTTCTAAATTAACGTATTTAATATATGAACGTTAGAATGAGGCGTTCAAATTATGTTAAGCTGTAACGCTACAGGACCGCAGAAATCTGTAGAAGATTTTTCTACATACTGCTTGGATTAAGAATATAAACATAATGCATGTTTCTGCATTTGTCTGTTCTAGGCTTTCCCTGGAATTTATAGTAATGAGTGCCTGCTTGTTATCTTACTTGTCGGAAAATCTTTTTTCCGAAGATCATTCACAATTTCTCGCATGATATCGCAGCATTTCTTCGAACTTCTTCGAAATACCCAAGTGTACAAGTTCGTATATGTTTGGGTGTTTAGCCGTACGCGATTGGGAAATATTCTAGACTGCTTATTAAAGGTATTTTATGGTAAGAGATCGCTTTGTATCTAGTAAGTTTGTACTATCTCTGACTTTTTAAAAGCCTTTTTGAACATTCATAGTCTGCCATCTTTGCAAAAGGAGAGCGCATGTAATAAGGCAACTTTGTAACCTAATGTCATCTCGATAGGTGGTGACCGCAGACAAAAAGAATGTCACATTTTTTTCCCATCAAATAAACATTACCGTGGTCCCTCACCGCTGTGTTTGGGGAGCAGCGAATGCGGGCATTCACCATGCATCATGTCCTTCAATTAACTAAAGTCGTCATTTCACCACATTTCACAACTGCATTTGCCACTAGAGGTTTAGTGCTCTTACGAATTATCATAACCAAATGAGGTCGGCTATTTCCGTGCACAGACGATTACCATATCCGAGAAGACAGAGAATCAACCACTGCTCCAGGCTAGCAATTGTCACTCCAAAAAAAACTTTTTGTCTGTACCCATGATTTTACATTGACTAAACTTCGCCGGGATTCTGCTGTCAAGTAAATTATTGACATAAATGGATAAGGGCGGCCTACAGCTAAGTGAAGTTTTCAAGACATGTTCGATAAAACCACTGTTTTAATGGCTTGAAAATTTCGGCTGCCGTGATATAGATACTAGTAAAATTTACAAGAAGGTCTGTTTCAAAGCCATTTTGCCGCTGCATTGCAAAGCAACGAGGTGGCCGCCTCATTAATGGTTCCCCTGCCTTCCTAGTGTGCTTTTCTGGTATATGAACTCCAGCTATACATTTCCTTGTTTAATTTCAGAAGATATTCTTTGTTAACTTGATCAAATGGTTTCGAATGGACGTTTACGGTCTGTGTCCAGAGACTATAAAATATACAGAGCTACTGCACGGTTGCAGTTAATTTCTGAGAAAATTATAATTTATAAAGACCAACATGTCATTGTCACTATGAACCTCATAATAACATCCTAACAACAAACTCCAAGAATATAGTTATGCTTATCTCACGCCTGAGTGTAGGCAAATATGGTAAAAGTTGAGGGCGATTATTAGACACTTAGCGTCTGTGTTCACAAAGTCCTTTAAATATCCGTTCGGCCGCAAACTTGATTCAGATGTCGACGCACAGTTCTTCCATCGTGGAACGTTAATTTCACCATTTGTCTCACACATCTTCGAAATGCCAAGGGATAGAAGTTCGCTTCGTGTTCCAGTCACATGTAGACATTTTCGTCAGGCGCGAAGATTCGCGTTCGGCTCTTTATGTCATATCGCGCTTCCATATTTGGCTGGTTTTCAATGGCTCTGACATGCGTTGAAGGTGTTATGCGATAGCCGAACAAGAAGCGTGGCTGCATCGTGACTAACCCTGGTTGTATCTGTTTGTCTAGCCCTTGCTTTATTGTCTGAACTGAGTGCTTAGCGAGACTATTTGAGGCCGCCTGGAACGGGGAAGTAGTTAAATGCCTTATTCCAATTTTCTCCATGAATTCTTGGAATTATGTAAAATTAAAGGCCAGGTCATTGTCTGAAACGACCATTTTAGGTATTCCAAATGTAGAAAAAGCGGCTTGTAACTTGGTAATTGTAGAAATTGAAGTCCAGGTGTTTTCGGTCGAAATAACATCAATCCATTTAGTGTTGACGTCAACCACCATCAAGACCATATGGCCTTGCAATGGTTTAAAATAATGCATGTGTACCCTCTTCCACGGGGAGTCGGGGCAGGCTCGAGGCTTTAGAGGCATCCTCTGTAAGGTCGTCTGCGTTACATGACACACGTGACATGCTTTCACCACATTTTCAATATTCAGGACAACTTTGAGCTTTAAAACATAGCTGCGGTCGAGAGCTTTCACTTTAACTGTACCAGGACGAGCATTATGAAATTGTCTAGGGATGGCTTGTCGACTGTCCCATGGTATGCATCCGTCCCGTAGGCTCAACTCTCTCTGACGGATGAAGAATGGCTAAAAATCAGGGGAGGCAGAGGACGGCCAGCCAGATGGCAAGGACCATTTTACCCGACTTTAAAGAGAGTCTCTGGATGTCTAAGGTCTAATTCGTTGACAGGTTACGGGTGAGTTGACCAGGTTCTTTTAAAGATTCACGGACTCTAAAACAGGTGCCCCGTTAACGCCATCGCCTACAATGGGAGGTCAACTCAAAGCGTCAGCCACTACATTTGCACTACTCTTAACTTATTTCATTGCCTATGCATAAAGGGAAAGAATGAAGGTCCATCGTTATATTCTCCGCAGGGATTTCTGTTGTATCCGTCGTTTTTCACACAGCAAAACTAAGAGGGTTTTGTGATCGGTGTGAATCTCGAAGGGTCGGCTAAAAACGATAAAGTTGTAAGCGTTGTAAGCCAACCACTATTGTTAAGGTCTCTTTATCTGGCTGCCATACGTGAAGTTGTAGGAAAGGTAGCTATCCAATTAACGAAAGCGTACACAAGAACGCATCCTGCAGCGAGACACCGAGGAAGAAAGAGTAGCAAGTGCGTGGGGGACTTATGCTCGCGGTGAAACTCCAGACCATGGGGTAGGAATTGACGGGCATATAGCGG